CTATGATCTCCCCATCCCAGCAGGAAAAAAAAAAAAGATGGGACAAGCCACTGACAGTTTTGAACTCATGACATGTGCCCACTGGAATCAATATGATTCTCTGGCACATTCAATATTCACTTTTAGTAAGTATGTAGGATGGCTCTTTGTTGGACTCCAGGAAAGTTAAAGAAAAACTTGATCCAAGTTCCCTTACACATTCCTATGCACGCATTTAAAACTCAGACCAGCAAACAACCTTGATATTTTCTCAGTCTGAGTTTATCCACCGATTTTTTTTCATATGTTAATATCAATGGGCTGACTTTCTTCTTGGTTGGTTGAGAATTTTTCTTTGATTTAAAACTGACTGATTACTGAATCTTGAAAATCAAAAGAAGTTTCATGTGTAAACACAATTCTTTTTTTTTTTTTTAAGTGGGTCAAAAATACTCACTGTGGCCTTTGTTACTGAAGATTAGAAATGGTAGGTAAGAAAAATGTGCCTGTCTGGATTTATTTTGTGCAGGCAGGCCTCAACGGCCCTGTTTAAGTCTCCAGTTTTCCAGGAACTTCTTAAGATGGTGATGAGTAGGGTTCTAATGAGCAGAAACCTTCTTCCTCAACTACAGTTTTGACAGGTTGTCTCTAGCCAGAAGAGACTCTTATTGAGGTTAAATAGAAGAGATGCAGCATGCAGAGAAATCTGTAGATTAGTGTATTAAAATGTATCTGCCTCTTCTATTTTGAAATAACTGCTCATGGCAGTTCTTGGCCTATTTGTTGACAAATCACTCCAGACTAATTAGATAAGAGGCAGCTGTATGCACACTATAATTGGCTGCTCTTGCCCCAAAAACTTGATCAAAAACTTTTCCTTGACTCATTACTGTGAGCCCAGTGTTGCCATACATCTCCTCTTAATGCATTTGAACTTTGTGGGCCTATTAAAAAACAGAAAATACATACATATGCTAAGTGAAAACATCTTTATGTATCTGTAGGATAGGATTAAAAGAGGAAGAAATAGATAGCAGTGGATTTCAGATTGAGGCAGGTGCTAAGTTTATTGAGGCATTTTTGCCTACATAAAGAATACTAACAAGATGGGGCGCCTGGGTGGCTTAGTCGGTTAAGCGTCTGACTTTCGCTTAGGTCATGATCTCNTTACCAAGCTTTAATTTAATCTTTTAATTGTAGAGTAAATACAGAGAAGATCAATCACTAAAACAATTTGATATTTATTTTCACAGTAGCAAACTTTTTCATTTATCTATCTTTTACCATAATAAGCTTTCAGATAGAATATTTTACTTTGGGGCGCCTGGGTGGCTTAGTCGGTTAAGCGTCCGACTTCCGCTTAGGTCATGATCTCGCGGTTCGTGGGTTCGGGCCCCGCGTCGGGCACTGGGCTGACTGCCAGCTCAGAGCCTGGAGCCTGTTTCAGTCTGTGACTCCCTCTCTCTCTGACCCTCCCCTGCTCACGCTGTCTCTCTCTCTCTCCTAGAAATAAATAAAACATTAAAAAAAAAAGAATACTAACAAGGCATTTTGGTTACTTGTTTATAATATGTTTGGTCAGATGTTGTCCCTTGGCACCAGTACAAAGGCTGGCAAAGAATATTAACTATTATGCATGAGTGATAAACATTTAGCTTACTTTCATATGTGAAGAACTGAAACCCTTTTAAAACCTGTACCCAACATAGAGATGGCTTGTACTTTCTTGGATAATTCTGTTTATTTACTTACTTACTTACTTATTTATATATGTTTAATGCTTATTTATTTATTTTGAGAGACAACACGCAGGGGAGGGGCAGAGAAAGACTGGGAGAGAGAATCCCAAGCAGGCTCCGTGCTGTCAGCATAGAGCCTGGCATGGGGCTCAAACTCACAAACCTTGAAATTATGACCTGAGCTGAAACCAAGAGTCAGATGCTTAACCCATTGAGCCACCCAGTGTGCCTCTGTTTTGATAATTCTGAAAATAGCTATTTGGAACTTGGAAATCAGTTCTTTATAATACTGCATTTTTTAAAGTGTTTTGTTTTGTTTCGTTTTGTTTCTAGAGAGAGTGAGCATGTATACCTGCACAGGGGCGGGGGAAGGGAAGAGAAAGAGGGGCAAAAAGAGAGAATTCCAAGTGGCCTCCACACTTTTCAGCACAGAGACCTATGAGGGGCTCAAACTCACCAATCGTGAGATCATGACCCGAGCCGAAATTGAGAGACCGACACTTAACTGACTGAACACACAGATACCCCTATGTAATTCTTTTTCTTATAGTCTAACAACATCAGAGGTCAAGGGACTTTTTCTGTTAAGGGCCAAACAGTAAATAATTTAGGCTTCAGGGTGTCACAGTGTCCCTATCATAACCACTCAGGTAGTAGTGCAAAAGCAGCCATAGACAGTACCTAACACATGGGCATGGCTGTGTTCCAAAACATATTCTTTAGGGACACTGCAATTGAAATCTCATATAATTTTCATGCTACAAAATATTATTTTTTCTTTCCATTTTTCCATCTATTTAAAACTGTAGAAACCATTTTTAGCTCACTAGTTGTACAACAGGTGGCAAGCCATGTCTGACCCCTGAGCAGCAGTTTCCAGACCCACAATAAGGATAGAATGGCAGTACTTCCAACATTACAGAATGTAACCAAATATACTTTAAATTACTTGAGACATGGGGCACCTGGGTGGCTTAGTCGGTTAAGCGTCCGACTTTCGCTTAGGTCATGATCTCGCGGTTAGTGGGTTCGAGCCCCGTGTCGGGCTCTGTGCTGACTGCCAGCTCAGAGCCTGGAGCCTATTTCAGAGTCTGTATCTCCCTCTCTCTCTGATCCTCCCCTGCTCACGCTGTCTCTCTCTCTCTCTCTCCTAGAAATAAATAAAAAATATTTTAAAAAAATACTTGAGACACTTGGCATTTGTACATGAAAAAACATTTTACCTTTTAACCGTCTATGTCAGGGACACATCTGTTACAAAACGATCTAAGTCAAGTTGGGTGTGCATTATCAATGGATGGATATGTTTTTATAGGTAGATGCGACAGCCGTTATTATTGATTATTTGTTGTAGGTGAAGGAGGGCTATACATCTCCCATTTCCATATCCAACAGGTAGGTTACAGGGAAAGCATATCTTACATCAGATTCTGCATATATAAAAACTGTAAGGACACAAGTCTAAACCAGATTGACTCCATAATAGGCTTTAAGTTTCCCCTCTAAACTAGAAGGCCTACGTTTCAGTTTCCCTGAAACTAACAGGCAGCTACACATTGCCCAAGGCCAAAGAAACTGCCCACCACTTCACTCCACCACACTACCTTGGCAACGCCCAATCGAGAAAGGCCAGCAACTATAGATAAATCTCAACTGCCTAATGTAAAAGTTAACCCATTAGTCGCCGAACAAGAATCTAGGCTCGCTCTATGGTTGGTTGAATTTAAGGGTACCCTGAATGTTGTAATTGGATCCTGCCAAAAGTAACAGATACTCTGGATAACATGTATGGTTAAACCCGCTGTAAATAATGTTGGATAATTATAATTGGATCACTGTTTCCATGCCACAATTTCTGTAACTCCCCCATCACAAACCCCATAAAAACCCTACTCTGCCTTTGTTCGGGGCTCTCAGCACGGATCCACTGCATTGGTGAGGTCTGGGAGCCCAAGCTCGAGCCCGTAATAAAGCCCTTTGCCTTTGCATGCGTGACTCGGTCCCCCCGGTGGTCTCTGGTCGTTGAGGATACTGCGATCTGGGTATAACAAAAACATCACTTAGTAAGTGGCACAAATGTAGTTATCACCCTGTCCTTGCTATCTCAATGCAATGCCATTTTCAGTCACCTAATACCCTTCAGGAAAGGGACACTGCAAAAAGAAATTCCTAAATTCCTAGATAACCATCAGGTGACAGAATTCTGTTAATGGCAAAATGCAGGACATAAGAGAACACTCGGCCAAGAATGTCACTTCAAGAGTGAGCCATGGGGTGATCATATTTATACACTCCTAACAGCCGAGGTACACATGGTATTTCTAGCAAATCTGTATGTCTTGAATGCCTCTCTTTTCACCAACGAAAAGTCATTTCTAATATCTCTTTTGCTAATTAACAAACCCTCTAATGCTGATAGGAATAGTTAAAAATACTTGTAGTGGCTTCTTCTGGAATATGGGCTTGTGACTAGCACCACTCAAATACTAACCATCTATCCATGGAGTGAGCCTGAACAGGGACCATTAAATACAAGTTAACAATTAGTTACAGACTAAAACTAACACGCAAACACACCACAATTTCTATGCTTAAGTATTTAAATAGTAAATTACAGGCAATACAATATTCTTCTAGGAGACTACCACCGCAAAATCAGTGATTCCTTCGTTAGCAGTCTATCCTCTGAAAACTGAGAATAGCGACTCTTTCCAAACATAGTTTGTATGGTTGTCCATTGGAAGGGGCAAGGAAAATTCTGGGTAGGAGCGAGGGCAGCAGTTTTAAGGAAGTGGAACTGCGAAATCTTTGAGGACGCGGACTTCTGGAAGCAGAAACCTACGCGACTTCGGGTCAGATGGCGGTACGAGAGGACCGTGAACTGATCTCCTCCCATGAACACCTCCATGTACAGCTACGTACAGAACAACTTCCTTTGAAAAAACCCTAAAAACTGAGCAACTGCTATGCACTGGGTGAGAGACCGTCACAACCAAGCAGGTAGGAGAAGCCTGGACGCAATCTCCCGGTAAACCTCACCCCATCCCTTGAGGCTACAGAGTTGGGAATAAAAATCCTGGAGCTTCTTTCTCTCTGAGGAGCAAAGGGTCTGAACCCTACATTGTAAATCTCCAGCTTTTAGGACTTGCAGCTGAAAGACGCCCCCACCCTTACCGCCAAACATCTAGCTTTAAAAATCAGCGGGGCTCCTTCTGTGCAGCAGACCCAGAGGCTATGATGAACTGGGAAACGCTCCTAAGTGGCCTGCGTGCTCAGACTCACCCGCTCCTGAGCCCCGCTCGGCCGCCGACGGAAGGGTGCGGGCCTCGTGCAGCGGAGGCCTGTCCTGGGAGTGTCCCGAGCGCCAGGCGTCTCTTTTGACCCACACTTGGGGGCCTGCTGGGGTGCTCTCCGGGACGGAGACTGGTAGGTGCCGACTTCACCCGGGCCCCCAGGCCTTGCTCCCCAGGCCGATGCGTCCTTCTTTCTTTCCGGCTGGGTTCTATCCTCCTGCCCGCCCTTTGCCGTATTCCGGAGCGCCGGGATCTCCCAGAGGGGAGAGTTCACACGCGCCGGGTGTCCCGGTTTTACGTCTAGTGCTTTGCCTTTACGTCTGCTCTCTTAGTTTTAGCGGCTGCCGCCAGGGGGCGCCTCTACATAGCCCGACGGCGGTGACCAGCGGGGCTTGCTCCTGGGTCTCCCCCGACTGTAACCAATGGACCGAATGTCAGGCGGACTAACCTTCTCGCTGTTCTCGCTGTAGGGGTTTTGCTATCTGTCTCTCAACGGGGTAGAAGACGGTTTTACACCTCTTTTTCTGACCCTGAAACGCTAGGGAGGTGTGGGAAGGAAGGAAGGGAGGAAGGGAGGAAGGGAGGAAGGAAGGAAGGAAGGGAGGAAGGAAGGAAGGAAGGAAGGAAGGAAGGAAGGAAGGAAGGAAGGAAGGAAGGAAGGAAGGAAGGAAATGTGGAAGCTTTGTAAAGTGGAGAAGAGACAGTGGATGAAAATAACAACAAAAAGTATTCTTGCTGAATCCTGTCACAACAAACCGGATTCTGATGAAATTGTGGGTGATTTTTTTTTTCTTTCTGTATTTTTAAAGTGTTTCCCCCTGCAGTATCGCATTAATTAGATTGTTACCAGATTATTACCCTTCTTAATTAATTATTTCTCTATAACCACATCCTTACAATTTTATTTTTTAAATTATGCAACATGTGAAACAGCCAAAAATAGAGTGGACTTCTGCTAATCTTTCAGCAATGCCCTAACCACATTGCCTCACTCCTATATTATTTTGAAGAAAATCTCATACATTCTTTCATCTATAAATATTAGTGTTTGTATCTCTAGAAGGTAAGGACTCGTTTAAAAAAATGACCATTGATTTCTGGGATGCTCAGTTGGTTTACGCTTGGGACTTCCACTCAGGTCATGATCTTGCTGTTGCGGATCATGCAGCATCGGGCTCTGTGTCAGCTGTCAAGCTCAGAGCCTGGAGCGGGTTGAGATTCTGTGCCCCTCTCTCTCTGCCCCTCCCCAGCTCACACTGTCTCTCTCTCAAAAATAAATAAACATTGAAAAATTAAAAAAAATAACTATAATCCCAATGTCACGCCAAAAAAATTGACAGTAATTCTACATCATCAAACATGCAGTGTTTATATTTCTAATTATGTGAAAAGATCCAAAAATTCTAAGTGGTTGGTATACATTTGAGTCTTTTCTAATCTGTAACTTCTCTCCTTTTTTCTTTTCTCTCTCTTCCTTGTAACTTACTGTGAGAAGAAACTTTCATATTTCTAGTTTTCCCATAATCTGTTGATTTCTGATTATTTTTGATTAAATTTTTTTTTAACATTTATTTATTATTGAGAAACAGAGAGAGACAGATCATGAGCAAGGGAGGGGCACAGAGAGAGGGAGACACAGAACCTGAAGCAGACTCCAGGCTCTGAGCTGTCAGCACAGAGCCAGATGCGGGGCTGGAACCCACAAGCCGTGAGATCATGACCTGAGCTGAAGCCGGACGCTTAACCGACTGAGCCACCCAGGTGCCCTAGATTATATTTGATTTTGAGAATTTATCTTTATTTCTAAATATTTTTATTATATTTCATTATGTATTCATTGTATTTCATGTTGAAGTTTGTTTATTTATTTATTTAATATTTAAATATATAGAAGTATAGAAAGAAATATTTTAGTTCCTCTTCCACTCTGAGAGTAGCTCTGCCACTACATCGCTTTCAGTTTTTGAGATAGTGCTCTTGAGGTCTCTTCTTGGGAATGAAACTATCCCAACATATACCAACCCTTTTTCTTCCCCTCCATCAATTCATTAAACCAGTGGTTATTAGCAGGATAGTACTGTCCCCAAGGGCTGTTCTGGTTTAGTCGTCAAATGGTTGAGGGGGTGGAGGAAGCTAATGGACACAGCAGGCAGGGTCTGAAAGGTTAGATGGCTTACAGTATGTGACACTGTCCTTCACACAGTGAAGAATTGTCCCATGTATTGCACTGCTCTTGAATGTTAACCTCAAATTCATGTACGTGAAAAGTTGTTCATAATTCTGTGACACTGGATCTCAGTTGTTTTACCTATAACCACGAAGGAAATTTTTCCATGGTTTTTATCATACATTGAATTTCCTACAAATACAGTCACTGGGTAAATTGAGGGAAGGTGGCAATCTATTTGTTTGGATTTTTCCATTTGAGAAAACTACTAGTAGCTTTAACACTCGTGGATTTTGGACATCAGCACAACACAGTTGTATCATGTGCTTTTTTGCTGTTGCCTCCACCAGGATACTCTTAAGTAGAAATATATGATTACTTTATTATGTCTTCTCATTCAAGGTAGTGCCTTCCCAGCTTCAATATGAGGATGCTCTTGTAGCCTGCCCAGGCAGTTATATTGTAAAGCAGTATGATTCTATTATAATTTTTGTATCTCCTACTTCTCACAGTTGGGGCTTTCTATGAATTATTTTGAAATAATATGCGTAGGTAGGTTATATTATCTATGGATTTTATTTTAGCATGATATGGTGGGACTACAAAATATTTGTTACTAAAGTGAGGATTGGGCCTGATGAGATTGAACTGCACAGATTTAGGCTGGTGGTGAGAGTCAAGGCCGCACTGACCAGTCAGGGATCACTGAATATGCAAAACATTTTTTAAAAATGTTTATTTTGAGGGGGGTGCAGAGAGAGAAAGAGAGAGGGAAAGACAGAATCCCAAGAGGCTCCACGCCCAGCATGGAGTCTGATGCTGGGCTTCATCAGAGATGATGAGATCGCCACCACAAGATCACAACCTGAGCAATGTTGAGTCCAACCAACTGAACCACCCAGGTGGCCTGAATACGTGAAACATTCTAACAGTGGAATTTGCATAATAATGGCGGACACTTTAGATAGTGCTTGCTTAATATGCTGGAAATCCTTCTTTACAAATGCTTTATCTAAATCAACTTCTTCAATGCTCATTATAGCGCCCGGAAGTAAAGGGAGCCATTATTCTTCCCTTCTCATAAATGAAAAAACAAGGGACCTAGAGGTGAGGTAATTCACCCTAGGTCACATAACTAATAAGTGCCAGAGCTAGTATTCAAACCCTGGCAATGAGGCTACAAAGTCTGTTTCTTAACTACTGCATTTGATTGCTTTTCTTTTGAAGCACAAGTCACTGAGTACAAAGGAAGGAAAATCAAACATATTGGCAGAATATATACAGGTAGTAGATTTTAAGGGAAAATGAATATGCAATTTTGCCGTTTAGAGACTAGTTGAGCTGAGTTGGTGGCAGGGTGCGAAGTTAACCATTAAAGTGCATACTAGCTCCTTGGAGATAGCTCAAAAAATATTTGTTGGTGAATGAAGTACTTTATAGGATTGTCTGTAGATACCTTAGAGTAGTGGAAAATAAAATTATGGAAGTGTATCAAAGTTAATGAAGAAAGTAAGACAAAATTTGGGCATCTGTTCTAATTTTTGTTAAGTGCAGCACCCCAGAAGTGTGTCTGGTATCTTTATCATATGCATCTTTACTGTAAGCATTTTCATGGCATGACTAATTGTCATAAGGTCATTTTGCTATAAAAGATGAAATCATGAAAAATAAAAGAGGGTCATTGAATCAAAAAGGCATCCTAAAATGTGAAAAATAAGTAACAAAATTAAAAAGCTTTATTGAGAAATTTTAAAAATTTAATACATTTAAAATCATGTAGATTCATGGCAATGCCATATGAATAACTGATTTTATTTTGTGACTTTACCAAAGCACTTGTCTTCAAGGTTTTTTGTTCATAATATTATACTTTTTTTTGTCTCCTTATTGGCTGGCTGGTTTTCTTTCTTTCTTTCTGAAAATTTCTTCCTTTGCTAAGAGTAATATCATTTTCCAAATACTATGATGCATATTTTTAACTGAGCCTTTTATACTGTTGTGAAAGCCTTCTATGCTGTTATTTGTTCTTGGCATCTTGTCACAGGTCCTTTGATAGATGTTCCAAAGTTCTGGGTGAAATGTGGGTTCAAAACTGCATCCCTGTTCAAATGGACCTAGGCCTAATAGGGCTAAGATTTATATAAAATACAAATGAGAATATTGCTTCAATGGAAAAAGGAAACCAAACTGTCAACCAATTGTTGAAACCATCAAACTGTCAAACCAATCTGTCAACCAGTCATTTATTCTTTCATGGTGAAATTGTCTTATAGCCAATTAATTATGCAGAGAAAATGTTTGCGTGAAAGTATTGCAGTGAAAATGGTTTTGACAAAGAAGCTTACTGCAAAACTAGCTAGAACCAGTAAGAATTCCAAGTAGAAGTTGCTTAATTTGCTTACTCAGGATCACAGAATTTTAACTACAAATGTTAATTAGGATGCATCTGGTGCAAATATCCATCTTGACAATATCTGACTGGGGCTAGAATAGAAGGGGGATAGATTTTTAAATAAATTGACAGAATTCACATTATAAAATGAACTATATACATCATAGTAAAGAGTTAACATAAATATGGAAACAGATTTACTCGAATCTCTCCTGAACGAGGAGTTGGCAGAGCGGCTGTGGAGAAACAGCTGCAGTAACCATGTTCTGGTCTAATTGGGAGTCCTCTCTGGTTTGCTCCTTGATCATCTGCATTGTCCTTCACAAGTTTGGGTCACATGCCAGCCCTGTCTGAATGACCATTTCCCTTTGCCTGCTTCTGTCTACACCTGGCCAGTGTTTCAAAGTTCAGAGTTTAATTATACATTTTTATCACTGGCATAAAGGAGGAACTTCAGGCAGTTTATCCCCTTCATTTTCCTTGTGTTTTCAATCAATGCATTTGTAGGTCAGCAAATCTGCTTAATACCTTGGTCAGCTTTGGTTGCAGTACGAATACAGTACAAATAGAAGATTTTGACATTTGGCCATGTCATTGAGTATCTATTTTTAAGCCACAGAATAGAAAAGAAAGATGAGAGAGACTATTCTCAATTCTTTCAATGGTGATACATTAAAAAATAATGTTTTAGATACAAAAGAGAGGCATTAATTTATTACATACATTAAATAACTTAGGAGAACATTAGAGTTTAATTATCTCATGGAATTTATTGAGAGCAGCTCTAAAAGTCTACCCTTGGCCAACAATTTTCACTGAGCTGCTCACTAAATAGCCATATTAGATGTTGCTCC